TACACTTTTATTTTACCTTAAAATACGAAAAAGGTAAATGTATATTGTCTTACTGCTTCACTGATTTTAAATATAATAACCCTGTCCTACTATACAATAAATGGATATATCTTTCAATACATTAACTATTTCAATATTCACATATCTTAGAATACGAAAAAAGTAAATGCATATTGTCTTATTGTTTCACCGATTTTTTTTTAATATTTACTTTTATTATCCTTATATACTGAAATTGACAAAATAGAACCAAAAGAAGAAATAATAACAATAAGAAGAGATACAAAAGAAAGAATAGTGAGACGACAGATGAACATAAATTACATTGATTAGTGACATCTTATACAGTTTAGCATATAGAAGAGGATAGAGAGAATACAATCAGTTGATAATGGTGTACAGAAAAGAGAGAAGGAGAAGAAAAAAAAATTTATCGATATATTAATATTTATTGAAATGATATAGTACCTAGCACATCATTTATGGAAGCCGGAATGTATCCTGAAGATGTTGTTAAAAGATATTTGTATATGAATGAACATAAGGAAAAAGAATTATATTTAAAGTACCCATATTGTTGATAATATGGTTACTTATAAATTCTATCAGATCAGTTTTCGAGTGTTTTGGCTCTTATCGATAGTCGATTGAGAAATTTACTATTCTTACGCATACTCATGCTATAACACCATGTCTTTTGAGATGTTTTTGAAGCAAAATAAACGTTAAAAGATAGTTGATATTGGTGAGCTTCTGCAGAATGACTGAGATGTTTATGAATTTATACCAGTATTTATATATATAGACATTGAGTGTAAGTTCTTTAGTAAGCGTGTATACCGTTAAATCATTCCATAGGTTTAAATTATAAGTTAAACAAAGTCCGGTACCGTATGTGTCTTCGATTAGTCTCTGTTGAATTTCAGTATACAAAAACTAATACGAAAATAGTCCAATTATGTGTGGTAGAGCATATGCAAAAAATACTTTCCTTTTTAACTTAATAAGGGCGATTGATATTTTTTTAAATAGAATGCAAAGAGCATGATACATTTTTCTAAGTTTCTCTAATCGATTTTCGATATAAACTCCCCAGCCAAGTTTTGTAGTTATTTCGACTACTAAATATTTAAAAACGTTTAACAAAATCTGTTTTACAACTTTTATATTCGATTTTAGGATACAACGAAGTAATGATATCATGTACTAGTAGCGCTTTTGTTTTATTGATATTAGTTGAAAGTAAGCTGTCGTTTCAAATCACTAGTTTTAGATGCACTAACCCTGTCGTATTATAAAGTAAATGGATTTACTTTTCAGTGCGTTCACTATTTTAGCATTAACATGCCTTGATCACGATACGGTTTTATTTTACCATTAAATATGAAAAAAGATAAATACATATTTTTTTCTTGCATAATAGATATATTTTGAAAGTTTTAACATTCTTTGGGAGTTTTGAAAATTTTCAGATTTTTGAGAGTTTGGGAAGTTTTAAGGTTTTGGAGTATTTTAAAAGTTTTTAGATTTTTCGAATTTTTGAAAGTTTTTGGGTTTTTTGGGGTTTTCTAAAACTCGTATAAGGCTTAATATGAATAGAACTTCAGTACCACTTCGAAAAACAACTAGAAATATCGTTACATATAATGTGGACTGCACAAAGCTTGTAACGACGTTTTGGTTAATCTGGAGTTGACGCAACGTAAAGCCACCTATTTGGACCATATTTTTAGATAGTTGGATAGATATCTGATTGCGTCGACGTTCATATTATGCGTAGAAACAAACTTTTACTGTTGTTCAATACGTAATTGGGTTAAAAATAATGAAGATTCTAGTTTTTTCAGATCGAA